CTACTATTTGCATTGAATATAGTCTGGATACCTTACTATTATTTCACGGATTGTAAAACGCCTTCCATAATAGTCTGGAATTTTTGCACATACGGTGAGTTGGTGACCGCGATGTTGATTGGTTGATAAGTACACCATACCGATAACGTGATGATAATAATACCCAGAAAATAGATGACAGTTATATGCTCTCTAAACACGCGAAGTAGTAACGAGTAACGAGACGGGTAACTCTTACTACTTACTACTCTTACTACTATGCCCGATTTCTCACAACCTTCCACTCCAGAGTTCCCAAAGGCAACTACGAGAAGAGTCAAAGCGTAATTTGAGATTTAGCCAGCTTCAAGCGCTCTTGGCCTGCTTTCCAAACCACCATATTTTTTATTTTACAGAGTATTAATTAAAATACTTCTTCTTTTAAAATGTGTATGCCAAGATATAGTAAACTGGAAGTAAGGTTCGTTTGAAGTATATTCTGGTATATTATAAATATTGTACTAGTTAAATATTTCAGCCAATAACTACATGAAATAAATATTCAAATAGGAACCGTTAAAAGATTCACACAACAAAAGCGTTTACACAAATATTTCATCTCTAGTGATTACTTGATTTTATGACTAAGGGTCGATAATCTGAAAACCTATGGATGGCACAAACATTTCATTGAAAAAAACAAAACAAACAAACAAAGCAATTTATACGAACACAATCAAAATACAACACTACGTAGTCACATCGGTAAAAGAAAAATATATGGACTCCATGGTATTCATAAAGTAATGACACGAGTTGATTATGCTCCACATTAATCAACTGGCCAGACAAAAGATATTGAAATATTTTTTTAAATCATCTTTGCAACAGTTTTATTGTTTTAACTTCGAGCTCATTATATCTGTTGAAATCATTTCGAAAGTTAAGACCAGCTGTTCTCTACGAAGCCCGTAGTTCTGATGAGATATATAGGCCCGAGCATACCGCCATATCAAGATTTGTGACTAGTAATGAACGAAAAAAGTGCAAATGTCATCGACATGATAATGACCTTCTTGATGCATTGCATTGTATTTGTTCATCCAAGCTAATTTGCTTACACTTCGACGATAATGAATCCCTTGTGGCAAACATAAAAGTACAAAATCTACTTCCATCTTCCACTGATGACTCGGGAGAGCCATCACATCTTCCCTTTGTAATAACGTTGATGGCGTTATTGTTTGTCCACCTACACGTTTGTAACAAAACATTATCTACTTCCCACTTGGAAAAATCACCCTTCCCCGCGGATTGAATTTATATTTGCCTACCCACTGAAAAAAATCAAGAACACCGGTCTGTGAAAACATCTCTGTTGGCTTCATCTGATAATGAGATATACTTATGTTAATATGATTTATATTGGAATCCATGTTAGCTTCCGTCTTAAATTTGTAACACAAATCACATCGGGACAGGTTGACCTGCAAAACATAATAGCAGACACCACGATTATCGTCATATCATATCTGTAAGCCAAGATATAAGCCAATTAGACTACAACAACAATCATGGCCGCCATCCTGAATACTTAAATAAAGGATGACATGGTAGCATCATGCAAATTTACATTCAGTAGGTATGTGAAATGAAAAAAATTATCAAGATGATTCGAGGTTTTCATAAAAACTAAATTCATTAAAAGACTAATCTGCATAGCCAATATCTGACACATACCAGATTAAGTGCAGTTGCTGATAAAATAACTGATTATTCAAGTGGAAAAATCCAACACGTACATTTGTGGAAAGACATCTATTTGACTACGCTATACACGTATCTGATTTCAATCTTTTGTGAGATCACGTTTTATCTTGTAAGGTGTGGTATTTAAATTGTGCACTGTCTATAATGTATTGTACAGTTTAGCGTCTGTTCGTTCTACTGTACGTCTCTTTAACAACCAATAGTAACGATTTTACAGTAAATACGCCCCTAGAATGTTCCCCGTCAACATTACCTGTTTCTATTGATAGTTGACGTATACACCGTCTATTGCAATGTCGTAAATATATTGTATTTGAGTTGAATGACTTCGACTATTTAGTACACAATCATATTAGTAGACCATTTTGTATACAGACAGCATTATGTTTGTATGTGCTGTGTGTCTTGCTCAAAGAGTTACAACTAAAGTAGGCCTCTAGGATTTCTATAATCACAGTATGTCATAATGCTAGACATGTATTCCGCAGACATGATAAATAATGGCATCACTGAACTATTTACCTTGAGACAAATTAGCGAATTACGAGACCAGAATTATAATGAATTTGACGATTTCATTGATGTGATTTTTGTTATTACGTGATTCATTCTCTTATGTTGATTTTTATCTGCATGGTTGAGACATGTAATATTATATTGTGTTAAGGGTTTATAAAATAATTAGCAGGATACTCACGTACGAGCCAATAATCAGGATCTTGTTCACATCGAAATCTTGAGTCTGCGTTCAGCAGATTATCATGTATCACTGCACACTGTTTCTCGTGCGATATAACCCAATTACTTTATAACGTTATGTGTTTCTCGCATCCATGTAATTTATTTTCGGGTTTATATAATGTATGCAAGCGGGAATATAACGTTTTACATCGAATGTGTACTTTTACTAATGACCTAATTAATGTGTACTCTTACTAATGAACTAATTACCTGCTACATCGTAGGTGGCCTTGTTTAACATTTGAAGATCAATGATCATTTTACAAATTAGTCGTCAATTTGGGTGTCGGTGATGTCACACGCAACGTAATATTACCGTAATTGGTATAGTATAGGTGTGATGGTTCAAATACCAAAATGGCAACAGTAACAGAAAGACTTCTCTGGCGGCGATGATAAAATACGAACACGGAGCCAACAGATGAGGTTTCAACTGGTACTGGTATTATTATACTCTGCAAACATCAAGTACAATAACGCGGTAAAACTCCAAACCTCCAATAACTAGAT